CATAAAATTTGGCTAGGATTGCTTCCTTTTTTTTTTTTTTTTTTTTTGTCTTTTTGAGACAGGGTCTCACTGTGCAGTTCAGGCTGGCCTTAAACTCACTATGTAGCCGAGGAGGGCCTTGAACTCACAGGATCCTCCTGCCTCAGCCTCCCTCCCGAGTGCTGGGATTACAGGCATGCGCCACCATGCTGGGCTGGGCTTTCATTTGGTTCCTGAGTAACTTCTGTAATCTTGGACTTGTTTGTTTGTTTTTGTCTCCTTCCTGGAGCCCTGTGAGAAGAGCAGTACGGTATTGGTCCAAGGCCTCACAGCGGTCTGCTGTATTACACTCCCAGTTTGGACGCGCTCAGGGGAAGACTGTGTTCACCCAAGCATCAGGATCAACCACGGTGGCAGGGACTTTGGATTTTAGCCAGGCTTGGGCCTCGTCTAGAATGTGGAGGGATCCCTGAGTATTAAACAGGGTCAAATGAAGCTGCTGACAGTCATCCCACGGTGGCAGGTGGGTCTGGAAGACGGATGTAGGGAGGTCAGTCATTGCTTGGGGCTTCTCCAAGTAGGAAGGGTTGTGGTGCTCCCAATTTGGGAGGTCAGTGGAACTGAATGACTGATGACACATCAAGGGCGGTTGCTCGGGTGTGCCTGCCTGGGCTCTGGGGTAGACATGAAGCAGCAGCTAGAGAGAAACTGGAATCTTGAATTGAGTGGCAGAGAGACGGTGATGGCTGATAGGGCTGTCAGCATTTCTGTCCATGTTGTCACCTGATGAGGGATCAGTCTGGGACTCAGGAGGTGCGGTAGTGGCTGTTAGCAGTGGAGCTGTGGAGTCCGGGATGGCAGGAGGCTGAGGTAGATGCAGACCTCTGGGCGGTGGAAAAGATTCCCGAGCAGGGGCTTGGGTAGGCAGCACGAGTCCAGGGCAGTCAGGAGTAGCTGATGGAGCTGAGGGGCCACTAGAGGGCGCAGGTGAAAATGGGTGTGGGCTCGGAGACGTGCTTGGCCGCAGTGATAGCAGGGGTGGTGGCAGCGACGCTGTGGAACCTGGGAACACGCAGGGCGGCAGCAGCAGTTCCAGCTGTGATGGCGGCAGCCCTGATCACGCCAGCTGTGCTGGTGGTGCTGGCTGTAGCAGCGGCGCTGGCTACAGCGGTGATGGTGCCACAAAATCTGGAAGGGTGCTCCCCCTCTCCGGCAACTGTAGCAGCACTGCTTAGGTTGTCTGTGGCATGCTGAAGCCAGCTGGGCAGCTTGGGGCCCCCGAATGGAAGGAGGTGGCAGATCGGACTTGGGGTTTTCAGGCAGGACTGGATAAAACTTCTCCAGTTTATGGCAGGCCTGGGAGGGTCTCAGGCAGTCTCAGGAATTTGTTTTGATGACCAGGGTGGTCCTTTTGTCATGCAGGGCAAGGTGCGGAGCCAAGGTGGCAGACTTTGACATAGGTTAAACCAAGAGTCCATATAAGGGTTTGGTTGGAGCGGCCGGTTTTGAGGTCTATTACGCCACTCCAGACTTGTCAGACGGTCTCAACATTGGCACTTCTTTGGGGCGGCCAGTCCAGGCACAGGTTTGGCCAGTCAATCTCACAGAAGGTCCAGAGCCTCTGAGGTTTCATTTTTACTCCATAGTCATCAGGGAATCCTCTTTTGAAGTTTTTCAGCATACAGTCAAGGACCGTAGGTTTACTCTGATTTGCACCCACTCTATCTCCCTACAGTGTATGTGGTGCACCTTTGAATGCTAGTGCAACAGACAAAGGGTGGGTGCCCCTCAGAGAGAGACCATTCAGATGCCCGGCTGGCCCCTTGCCTCCTGGCAACACTGGAACCGCCTGGCCTATGGAGGAACATCAGCAGATTCTCTGTTTTGTCTGTATTAGATGTGTCCACGGAGCTGCAGGTTAAGGCCCAATCAAGCTCCGTAGCTCTGAGGGCCTGGAGGGACCTTTTGCTGTGGAGCACAGATGGAACGGCCTACTGCTTCTGCTGTCTGTAACATTCACACAGTCATTCAGCAGGCACTCAGAGGTTAAACATCCCAACCCCCTTCCCTTGTGGGTGGCCTCAACTAAGGAGAGGTGAATAGGTTCTCCTTCTGCTCATACCTGAGCTGGACTGGCTGACAGACTGACTGGGGGTTCCCCGGGGGTCTTGTCTTATCTGATGACCCAGCCTGACTATGTCCTTCCCCTCTTTCTGGGTCCAAAGAGGGCCTTTCGTACCAAGCAAGGAACTCCGGTCTGGGCCTCTGCGGGGATTCCAAGGATGTCTGGAGGGCATGCCTTCCTGTTGACAAGCCTGGAGAAGTGCCTGCTTTGGCTGCTAGGCCTCAGCTGGTGACCTAAATGGTCAGCATGGTCTTCCCAGTCAGAGAACCAAAAATGTTACAGAAAACAGACAAAACACTGGAAAAAAATGACACCGAGAAGGCTTAGGAAGCAGTTTATTACACTGGTGGGCCTTACTGGGTTCCCTCCCAAAGAGTCAGTGCCCCACCCCATGGGATTTTGGGATTTTTAAAGGGAGAGCAAGCAGGGAGGTACAAAGGCAGATTTGGTGCAATGTGCTTGGATGGTTGTGTGACATCACAGTTTGCTAAGCGAGTTTAAACATCTCAAGTTACATTGCAAGGTCATCAGTTAAATAAGCATGGGTCACACAAAGGAAAAAATGTGCCGTTGTTAGGCTTTTCCAGACACATCCATCTGGTTTTGGCAGGCATTCTTGGCAGTCTTTATTTAAAATTTTAATTTCTCTTTTATCTTCACTCTCCCAAACATCTTATTAACCTCAAAAAAAACCCAGGAATATTGTTAAAGTCGGGATGCCTTCTCAATAGCCTGTCTCCAAGGATAAAATATAGGAAGAAATGAAACTAATGGGTAACACTGAATACAAACAAAGGTGCTTAACCTGTTAAGCATGTGTAAACATGTCATGTGTAAGCATGTGTAAGCATGACATGTGTAAGCATGTCACATGTGTGATTTGCGTTCCCTTCTGAGGAGGTCAGGGACCAAACAATGCTTTTGTTAAAACAAAAGAAAAGAAATAAGCAGAAAATAAAGAAACCCAATAACTTCACTTGAGCATACAGATACCCCATGAATAACTAACAACAGGATAAACCTTGATATTACTATCTTCATTTTGTGTCCACCTCCTCTATCACCTTAAAACTTTGGGTCAGATTCCTGCATGTAAGAGGCTTAATCATTTAGGACTATCTATCAAAAATTGGTCCTATGAGGTTTATTAACCTTAAATTTACCTAATTTATCTTACCCTCCTTCAAGACTGAGGACACTAAGACAAGAGATTTGCAGAGAAATTCGGTCACCAGCTCTTACCACCTGGACTGTGTACACAGATGTCTCCAGCCATTGACCTAAACATGCAAAACCGAGACCACCCCTTCCAAACAGAAGCAACCATCTCGCGGGAACCAAGACTTTTCCAGAGCTGCAAATACCAGAACTGGGATAATGATCAACCAGACCAGTGGGGGTGAACCTTTGCACGTGTGCTGCAGTGGGCTTGCTATTTGTAATCACTGAATGCTCTAAAACATTCACCATCACCAAACTAGACTCTAGTCCACTCCAACAGCCCATTAGAAGCTTGAGCCTTGTCCTTTGTCATAGTCCTAGTCTGATCTTCTTCATCAGAGCTGTGCCCTTTTGGCTTTTCTTCTCCGCTCAAATCCCTTCCCAATTCCTTTCTTTACAATTAAAACTTTTGCCTATAAAATTCATATCGTTGCCTCAGTTTTCATTTCCATTATCACTGAAGCAAGAACCCATACTAGCCAGTGACTACTGGGAGCTGATCAGGTTCCAGATCTTAGAAACAAGCATATGGAGAAGGATTAATTAAAGACAATGCAAATATGGTTTGTGGGGGGTCCAGGAAGGTCAGAACTCTCTAGGAGCTAAGACAAAGCCTTCTCTGTACTGTCTGTATTTATGGGGTCCTTAATAATTCAGCGGGGTGCAGGAAGTGGAGGACATGTCTGAGGCACAAGCCCCTGAAAATGAGCAGGCCTTGAGAAGTTAGAACAAAGACATTCTAGGCAGTTCTTGCTAATTAAGAGAACTGTCTTATCCTTAAGGTCGGCAGTTTACTGCTCTGGAATAGGAGTGAGAGCCCAATGTCCTCAGCTGCGGTCTGACCTTGCCTTCAGAGGCTGTGAATGTGAGCTTTCCCTACACACCCAGAGAGCCCTGTGGTCAGCAACCTAATACTTACACAGCCCATCCCCAACAAGTGACAGGACAAAGCATAATGGTATTTTCCCTGGCCCTGTCCATGGAACTGTCACTTGCTGTGAGAAAATTATTCATCCTCTTCCCTGTCCTGTGCCTTGGGAGAAAAGAAGTGGAGTGGAGTGATTCCTTTGGAGTTGGCTCTCAGAGTAGAGAATCTATTCTCAGAGATTGTCAAGAAAAGAGTTGACAATGGGTAGTTTTATCGTAAGTTGACTTCATCATTTTTGTTGATGTTGGTGATGGTGGTGGTTTTTTGGCTTGTTTTTTTGAGTGAGGGTTTCACTATGTTGGCCAGGCTGTCCTGCACTTCCTGGGCATGAGCAATTCTGCTTCAACCTCTTGAGTAGCTGGAACTATCAGCATGTACCACTGTGCTTTGTATGACTTGGTAGATTTTTTTTTGAGATAGGTTCTCACTATATAGTTCAGGCTAGGCTTGAACTCACTATATACCCCAGCCTGACCCCCAACTCCCAGTGACCCTTCTGCCTCAGCTTCCCGAATGCTGGCATTATAGGCATGTGTCATCATACCTGGAATAACCTGAGAAGACTTTAAAATTCTTCCCAGTGCTATGATTCTCTAAGTAAAATGTTCATAGATGTTACTTCTAATTGCTAAGTTATCAGTGATGTCAGAAATATCATGCCACAATTATCTTTCAAAACTTCAAACTTAATGTGGCTTCCAGGATTGGAATTAGTTTTAAATTCTATTACCTTCTGCTCAATTACAGATAATCTTTAGATGGTGGAAGATCTCTCTGAGGAGTGAGTATCGATCAGCAAGACCTGGAGAATCGAAAGACACTCATGAAGATTTCCTAGATAATTCATATCTTCAGGGTAAGCAAGGAAAATGTTATGTACTTGTTGCTGTTAAGTTCTGTATGATTAGTGAAAGTTTTTTCCTCAGTGGTGAGGGCTGAACCCTAGGCCTTGTGCATGCTAGACAAGGGCTCTTCTGCTGAGTTACACCCTGAGACCCATTCGTAGATTTTTTTGTCAGAGAAGTATCAAACTAATCATCATTTGAAATATTGATGTGTAATTATGTTTTTAGATATAGCAGAATGTTGGATTTGCTTTCTTTTTCTTTTTCTTGGTTTACTTATTTTGTGTTTTTTGAGACAGAGTCTTGCTATATAGTTTAGGCTGGCCTTGAACTCATTATGTAGCCCAGTGATACTCCTGCCTCAGCCTCCCAGATGCTAGGTTTACAGGCATATGCCATGATGCCTGGCCAAAATGTTGGATTCTTAAAGTACAGAAAACTATTAATATATCCTAAGTTTCTTTTGGGAAAACCCTCAAAATGTTTAAGTTTCTAGGTCAACATATAGATTCCATTAGAAAAGTTAAATTATATAAATGTAATTTTTGCTACAATATTTGATTAAGATAGGTTTCCTTCAGTTAAAAGTAAATTAAAAGGCTATATGAAAGTATAATAGCCATTCATTTAAAAGATCTAATTATTTTCTAAGAAAATAAAGAGGGTGTGGCAGTATGGCAGAGTGGGAAAGCCTTTGCCTAGCTTGTGTAAGGTCCTGGGTTCCATCCCTAGCACCCCACCCTCTGTCTTTTTTTTCTTCTTTCATGCTGTGGATCAAACCCAGGGCCTTGCACACGCTAAGCAAGTTATTTACCACTGAACTACATCAGGGTTTTCCTGAGAAGTAATCTTAATCTAGTAGAATTTCAGTTTTAATAAAATCCCTCTCAAATTTCCCCTCTGCTTATTTCCTTTTATTGAAAGATAAACTTACCTAGCATGCACAAGTCCCTAGGCTCAATCTCCACTATGGCGTGTGCACACACACACACACACACACACACACACACGAATAAACGTATATACACTAAAATTTTGAAGAGTTTGAGTAGACAGCAATTCATAAATTGAGTGGTGCAAAACCACAAGCAGTTTGGCCTCTACCACTTGGATGCAAAGTGAGACTTTTACAGAGTTTGCAGAAGACAAGGAAAATACTGATTAAGTCACAGGCTAGTTGAGTTTCTAACAGGTTAAGTCTCCAGCTAGAGGTTACTTGATGGTTTCTGACCAGGTCAGCTGACATTTTGCTTTCCTGGGCTATGACCATTCATTCTGAATTGGGTTTTAATTGTTTAGGGAAGAAGTCAGGCCCCTGGAGCCACCTCAGCCTAATGACCTCCCGATTATTTTAATGTGATAATTAAAATGAAGTGACTTACCTCAGTATGAAAGCCTCAAACATAAAAAGTATACAGAAAGGTTTTTTGCATGGACTCCCACGACCCCCTAACCCAGCTTCTACAATACTCAAAATGTGGCCAAACTCTACACACAAACCAACTATTCCCATTGGAGTCTTTTGAAGTAGGTCCCAGGTGTTATATCAGTTCATCTTAAACTCTTTGGTATATGTCTCTAAAGAGATTCTTTTCAACTAAGCCCCTTAATGATTATTACTTACTCATAAAACATCTTTAAAAAGTCTTTAAATTAATTAATTAATTAATTTTTTTTTTTTTTTTTTCGAGACAGGGTCTCACTGTGTTGTTCAGGCTGGTCTTGAACTCACTATGTAACCCAGGCTGGCTTTGAACTCATGGCAATCCTTCTGCCTCAGCCTTCTGAGTGCTGGGATTATAGGTGTTTGCAACTGCCCAGGCTACTAACAAAACTTTAAAATTAGAGGGGACCTTAGAGATTCTTTTTAGTCTGTAGTCAACTATCTGTATAGTATGATATCAAGTAATCAGGTAATATAAAATACTTGCATACGAATGTTCTCATTTTATTGTTATAATATCCTTGTAAAATAAATACTCTTATCTGCATTTCACAAATGAGATCCAAGAAGGACATGACTTTCCGGGGTCTTACAGGGAAAGACTGATTGATCTGGAGGACCAAGCATGGAAAGTTAAAGAGTCCAACTCTGGGTGGATCTCTGATGAAAATCATTACTCTTTATGAAGGGATTCTATTATTTAATATTACAGTATGTGATTTTCTTTTGGTGACTCTTAATTGTGATACAGCAACTTGACTGGATCAAGAAACACCTAGCAGATTTATAAAGCACAGTTCTGGGTGCAGATTGACCGAGCAAACTGAAGAAGGAAACCCGCCCTGTTGTAGGTAGCACCAACCAATAGGACTATACCCTGGGTGGAATAAAAGGAGAGAAGAAGTTGGCATGCATATTAAAGTGCCCCATTCTGCTTGAGGGGGTGTGTCTCTTGCTGCTGTCACCCTTGTACCTCAGACTTCAGTTTCTTCTGCCTTCCAGCGCAGGCCCTTACCAGTGACTCTCCAAGGAGCTGCCAGGTCTCGGCCTGGTACTGCTCTCCTGCTGTGCTTCTCAGCCACCACAAACTAAGCAGCTGTGTTCAATCACTGCCAAGGATGCCTGGCTACTGCCCACTCTGACAGCAGATCTTGATGTCCACATGGTGCTGGTTTTAGGTACATGCAAAATGCAAGAGTTGTGGGATCAGGAAGGCTTCTACCCAGATTTCAGAGGAAGGCCAAGGAGATCAGGTGAAGAGCCCATGAAGGCTTAGTGTGTGAAGCTGTGTGACTGAAGCCAGCAGTGCAGTGGAGACTCCAGGAAGTCAGGACCCTCTGCTGAGGCAAGCTGCAGGCTGTGAGTGGAGCCAGCCCAAGAGAAAAGCTATGTTGGCTGCAACCATCAAGGACAAGGGGATGGGGACATGAAAGCCCTTTGGAGCTCATACTTTACCACCATGTGCTTTGAATGCTGGATATGGAAATATAAGATTTAGTTTGCCCTGCTGGGATTCAGTATTGCTTTTCAGTTTGATTCTTTTCTGTCCCTCTATTCTTCCCTTTTGGAATGGGTATGTTTACTCTGTACCACTGTACCTTGGGACCACACACTTGATTTTTTATTTTTACAGAGGTTCATAGTTAAAAGTTTATCAAGCCAGGCATAGTGGCATATGCCTGTAATCCCAGCACTGGGGAGGCTGAGGCAGGAGGATTGTTGCAAGTTCAAGGCCAGCCTGGCCTACAAAGTGAGCTCAAGGCCAGCCTAAACTGCATAGTGAGACACTGTCTCAAAAAGACAAAAAAAAAAAAAAAAAAAAAAAAAGAGTTTGTCTTGGGTCTCAGAAGAGCCTTGGAGTTGGACTTTTGAAAAAATGGTGGAACTGTTGAGATTTTGGAGAAGGGATTATTGCATTTTCAGTTGTATGTAACCTAGTTGTACCATGTTAAGCAGAGAATTATAATCTTTTCTTTATTTGAGGATTGAGTATGATTGAAGGAGATGTGTTTAGGTGTCAAATTGAGAGGGAGCGGGATGTGACAGTTACATGTGATTATACTAACATGATTGTCTGGAACCTGACTAGTAGGTTGGTGGAATACACTCCTGGATGTCTGGGTGGGTCATGGAAGTGTGACTGTGATCTTGAGTACTATATCTGGTCACTCAGCCCTTCCTTCCTGAAACAGCTCACTTGCTCTGCTTCCTGGATCCTGTGAACTTAGCAGCTTTGTTCTGTCACACCCTTCCGTATGTTTCTGCCTTGGAGCCAGGCGACCATGGCCTGAATCCTTTGAAACTATGGGCCAAATCAAAACTCTCCTCCTTTGAACTGTGGGTATTGTGACTCAGTGATAGGACAGCTGACAAAGACAGTTTGTGTAGGTGTTATTTTGTGATGCTGAGGGTGGAGCTCAAGGCCTCCCACATCTAGACAGGTGCTCTACCTCTGAGCTACGTCCTCAGGTTTGAGTAATGCTTTTATTTTTTCTAAGACAGAGGGAAGGTTTTGAGTTTGGGGTGTAGTGCAGTGTGGTAGACCAGTTGCCTAGTTGTGTAATGCTCTTAGTTCAATCTCCAGCACTAAACACATACCATAACAATAGACAATAAAAAAAGAGAACTTTTTTTTGTTTTACTTCTTTAAATAGTTAAAGATCTGAATTGACAATCTTTTTTTTTTTGAGACAGGGCCTCGTTATGTAGTTGAGGCTAGCCTTGAGCTCATTATGTAGCCCAGGCTGGCCTTGAACTTGCAGCAATCCTCCTGTCTTGACCACATGCTGGGAATATAGGAGTGTACCACCATGCCTGGCAGTATTAACAATTTTAATATACTATTGTGTGTGCAAGTATTTATAATATTCGTGGCATAGGAAGAACCACATTGGGAGAGGTCTATTCAATTTTGATTGAATAAAAAATTACTCTAGGCTTGCCTCATTTAATTGTGGAAAAGACCTGTTTCTGTGCAGATAGGTATACAGTAGACCTCTAGAAAACACATTTCATTTTCAGTTGTGATTCCTTGTTCTGTAATATCTACCCTGGAGTGATTCCTTGACAGATCATATGACTTTCTCTTGTCTCTCTCTTTGTCTTTTCTTTCTCTTTTTTATTTTTTCCCTTTTCTTCTCCCTCCTTTTCTTTTTTCTTTGCAGTACTAGAGATTGAATCCAGGGCTTTCATACAGGGCTACGTCCCCAGGCTATTTTATTCTTTTATTTGGAAATAGGGTATCTCTAAATTGTTAAATTGCCCAGGCTGGGTTTGAATTTGCAATCCCATGTTGGCCTCCCAGAATGCAGGGATTACAGGTGTGGACCACTATGACTGGCTCGGTCATAGGATTTTCTGATGGACTTCCTGAAAAACCTGGATATTGTAGAGAAAGTCCATTCTATCTTCTAAGTGCTGCTGTACCTGGAAGACTCTCATCTGTCTCCTGCCTGCTGTGGGCCCTCCCATACCCTGCTCCTGGTATACTGGGCCAGGGCCCAGGCCATGGGATATTAGTGTGAGCTTTGGAATGACTACTGAGGGCTTCCTGATATTGGAAGAATA